ATATAATGAATTAACACTCATAAACATGCACAGCAATGGGCATATGTACGTAATATTGATCTCTACACAGTTCGAACGTTCGAAAATATTTTTTTGTAACATTCATAAGTAAATGATAAATTTTTTTTTTTTTATATTTATAATCGTATACCTAACGATCAAAACGAGAAAACTAAAAAGGATATTAATAATAAAAAGTAACTTGAATGAATATGTCGTGCACAATAAAGTATATTGTTGAAGCCAAGCAAGAAAAAGGGTAATAGACAGAGAGCATACAAATAAAAAATTAATTTAAAAAAGTAGGTAAAGTATATATACGTAAAGTATGATTGTCGGAATGTGGGTTCTTACCCTGGAGGATGAGGGGGTACCGCTTCCGGCCCAACTTTTGGCAGAGCCATCGCTAACCAACGCATCACCTATAGCAGGGACATCGACAACGACACACAACGTTACCAATTGTATTTTTTAATTTTTTTTATTTTCTATTTTAGTTGTTGTTTTGTTCAGAGTACGATAAGCTTTGTCTCGTTTCTTTCGTTTATTTCTATTTTTATTTTGTACAAGCCGAATAAACACCGCGTTTGAGTGACATTCAAAAAAACCGAAGCACGGAAGAATAACAATGCGTGTTATTATCGTTATTCTCATTGACACTTAGTTTTGCACAAAAAGCCGGCAATGTAATACTTTTTCACAGCCTATATATGAACGTACGGATCCTGAGTTTGGTGATTTTATGGTATATTCGACTCATCAACTTCATGAGTTTCATTGGAAGGCTTGGAGAAAAAAAAAAAAACTGTCTCATCATACTGTGATGGAAAATGAATGTGAGTGTCGATCGCATATTACTTAATAAGTGAAAAATGGATGTGAAATAAATTCCTGACTTTGAAAACAAACAAAAAAAAAAAAAAAACTATTAGTATGTTTATGTGTTATACTGGTGCGCATCAGGTAAAATGAAAACGAATAAAAATAACAGCACAAAGTGACAGAGAAAGTGAGAGAGAAAGAGAGAGAAGGGGGGGATAAATGGGCTGTACATTCACAAACCTGGCGTCATGTCGTAACTCAGGCCAAGAGACTCCAAATCTTCCTGCGACACCTGACTGGTCAGGTTGTTCTGAAGGCTATTGGGTATCCTTTGCTGCTGCTGTTGCTGCTGCATCCGGGCGTCCACCACCGTCCTCAGCTCTTTACGCACGTACTCGGAATTAATACCACCTGTGCTACTCGTGTTACCTGCAATGAAGGACAATTCACACGGTTTGCATGATTAAACGTGAACGAGCGGCGCAAGGAATTTAACGTATGACGGATGACTTCTCGATCAGTGCAACAAGAATAGAAAGAGGGGCGGGGGGCAAAAGATCAGAAATATTAATTTACAAAAGTCAATAGTGGTGGCCAAGACCATTGTTGTAGCGATGCATCCATTATTTTACAGACGTAGAGAGGCTTCAGCGATGTTTTATTTATGGTGAACACACACAGGCGATTGGGCATTTGCATAATATTTCCTTTTTTTTTTTTTTTTTTTTTTTAACTTTTATTCCTTATTATTTATAGACTGTACATTAATTCACACAGACGAGAATGTTTAGAGAACACGAGGTAATGGTGACCACGGATGAGATGTAATAAACAAGCTTCAGCAGGCATTTGCTAAATGATAATGGTTTTCTACTTCTTCCTTAAGTGCATTTTCTTTCCCTGTACTCTCGTATAGATTGATATGATTTTTTTCTTTCTTTGCTCCTTAAGGAAGTAATGGAAGACGACCATTATTATCACGAAAACAAGCAAGACATTCAAGTTAAGCGAATATTTGGAAACAGCATGAGTTGAAACAACAAGAGTTGTGGTTAATTTTTTGACCACACCTATAGAAATTAAGTCTTGCGTGTTTTTGTGATTACATAAAAAATAATGTAAATTAGTTACGCTTAAAAATTATTTCCACAGATAAATTTTGCACGTTCTCCAACTCTTTGTTAAAACACCTTTGATGACAAGCTTAATGAAACAATATCTTACAAAAAAATTTTTATCAACAGCAATAACCAGTTATGGTTTTTTTTTTTTTTTTTTAATAATCTAATAGTAAGATGTTGCTTCATAATATCGTTATTAACACTGTTTTATGTACAAGGAATCAAATGTTTGAAAAAATGTCCAGATGTTCGAGTTATTTACAATGGAAGAATCAAACGGGCCAATGCTGATTGGATGATTGAAAAAGTTGTGAACTCTACGGAAGCCCGGTCACGACGTTTACATAAAAACGCAAAAGCGCGCACGAAAACACGTACGAGTGCACGAACACGCGAACACAATAAGTTGCAAAGCAGACGGTTTCTATTTCATTTACTTAAGTACAGCTTATAACTGTTACATCGTTACGTGAGTAAGAGATTTGTTCAAATAAATATAAATATATATGAACTTTATTCAAATATTTACTTTGGATACTATCATTCTGGTAAAGAGAGCACGATGTAAGATGTACGTAAAGTTATGTGTTATGTGTAGTAATTATAGTAATCACTACTACGTACTGCCATTTAGTCGATTTTATTAAACCTTTTAAGTAGAATATCTATACTTTTGGCGGTCGATTTTTGGGTAAAAGATAAATTATACATTTGCCGCGAATAGCACAGAATACGTCAACTCTTTATTACCTATCTACAAAATCAGTTGCGGCTGGTTTATAGTTGATAAAGTGGCTTAACTGTAAGATAGTAATAGTTATTTGGATCAGCGCCATCTAGCGGTCTTCATTTTTGAGCGAAAAGTGGCCTCTAAAATTCTCAATCAGAGCAATCAGGATTAGAGCCATTTAATCAATTATAAACCAGCCGCAACTTATGATGAAGCTATAAAATGAAAAAAAAACGATACATGTGTTTTTGGCGGCAAGTTAACAATCTATCTTTTACTCGAAAATTCATCTTAAAAAGTATAAATACATAGGAGGTCGATTTTTTGGTAAAAAATAGATTGTTAACTTGCCGCCAAAAACACATGTATCGTTTTTTTTCATTTTATAGCTTTATCATAAGTTGCGGCTAGTTTATAATTGACTGAATGGCTCTAATCCTGATTGCTCTGATTGAGAATTTTAGAGGCCACTTTTGGCCAAAAAATAAAGACCGCTAGATGGCGCTGATCCAAATAACTATTACTATTATCTTACAGTAAAGCCACTTTATGAATTATAAACCAGCCGCAACTGATCTTATGGATAGAAGATAAAAAGTTGACATCGTCTGTACTATTTGCGGCAAATTTATAATTTATCTTTGAGCCAAAAATCGATATGTAAGAGTATAAACATTCTACATATTTTGTATTGCTTATAAAATCAACCACATGAAAAAAAATTACAATACCTTAAGCTTTTTACCATTGACTTATGAAAGCACAGGCAGTACAGCCCTTTGACTTTATAGTTTTAATCAACAGTTAACTTGAGTATATGATATGTATTGTGTCACTGAAATCTTGAATAACGATCAAGCACATACGTGAATTTTTCAGTCTAAGAGACGACCGAAGAAAAAAGGCTATATAAAGAGTTTCAGTCACACGAAGAGTCTCCTAAGAATGGAGCATTGCATCTCTCATAATCAAAGAATGTTGGGTTCTTTGTTTATTTATAAGACTTAAAACTTACTTATCTGTAATAAATGTATTTTTTATTTAGTAAGATCCAATGCTATATTCTTAAGAGTCTCTCCCTGTGACTGTGCTTCTTTTTTAGGCCTTTTTTCTTCAGTTGTCTCTTTTCGACTGATTAATTTACGTGTATAAGTATTTGATCGTAATTCAAGATTTCAGTGACACAAATTTTTATTGAAACAAGGAAAAACCAAATGTTAAAGGAGCAAGTGCATATTTACAGTATCAACTGTTATGATTAAAAGTTATAAAACTTAAACAATTGCTTTATTCAAACGTTATATCAAGATTTATGTTTCACTTTTCTCATTGGTAAATCTTATTAGTTCACAAATTTCTCTAATATTCTTCTATTTGTGATACTAGTTGAGACTTTTAACTTGTGTGTTATCAAACTTTGTTATTGTAATATTAAAACCTCACAACGTGAGTGTGCGATACATTGCACTGTAACATAACACTGAAAGTTTTTTAATCCAACATAGACCATTACATCATTTTTGAGGATTAATCAAAATGAATGAATGTATTATATAAAACAACTTGTTAACTTTCAATATTTAAAATCATTTAACAGTGTACATACAAGGTCATTTCAATTAAAAAATTAATCAAGGTAGGATTGGAAGGATCAGTTTCTGTAGACTATTCATAAGTGTTTCCATAAGTCAATGGTAAAAAGCTTAAGGTATTGTAATTTTTTTTCATGTGGTTGATTTTATAAGCAATACAAAATATGTAGAATGTTTATACTCTTACATATCGATTTTTGGCTCAAAGATAAATTATAAATTTGCCGCAAATAGTACAGACGATGTCAACTTTTTATCTTCTATCCATAAGATCAGTTGCGGCTGGTTTATAATTCATAAAGTGGCTTTACTGTAAGATAATAGTAATAGTTATTTGGATCAGCGCCATCTAGCGGTATTTATTTTTTGGCCAAAAGTGGCCTCTAAAATTCTCAATCAGAGCAATCAGGATTAGAGCCATTCAGTCAATTATAAACTAGCCGCAACTTATGATAAAGCTATAAAATGAAAAAAAACGATACATGTGTTTTTGGCGGCAAGTTAACAATCTATTTTTTACCAAAAAATCGACCTCCTATGTATTTATACTTTTTAAGATGAATTTTCGAGTAAAAGATAGATTGTTAACTTGCCGCCAAAAACACATGTATCGTTATTTTTTCATTTTATAGCTTCATCATAAGTTGCGGCTGGTTTATAATTGATTAAATGGCTCTAATCCTGATTGCTCTGATTGAGAATTTTAGAGGCCACTTTTGGCCAAAAAATAAATACCGCTAGATGGCGCTGATCCAAATAACTATTACTATTATCTTACAGTAAAGCCACTTTATGAATTATAAACCAGCCGCAACTGATCTTATGGATAGAAGATAAAAAGTTGACATCGTCTGTACTATTTGCGGCAAATTTATAATTTATCTTTGAGCCAAAAATCGATATGTAAGAGTATAAACATTCTACATATTTTGTATTGCTTATAAAATCAACCACATGAAAAAAAATTACAATACCTTAAGCTTTTTACCATTGACTTATGAAAGCACAGGCAGTACAGCCCTTTGACTTTATAGTTTTAATCAACAGTTAACTTGAGTATATGATATGTATTGTGTCACTGAAATCTTGAATAACGATCAAGCACATACGTGAATTTTTCAGTCTAAGAGACGACCGAAGAAAAAAGGCTATATAAAGAGTTTCAGTCACACGAAGAGTCTCCTAAGAATGGAGCATTGCATCTCTCATAATCAAAGAATGTTGGGTTCTTTGTTTATTTATAAGACTTAAAACTTACTTATCTGTAATAAATGTATTTTTTATTTAGTAAGATCCAATGCTATATTCTTAAGAGTCTCTCCCTGTGACTGTGCTTCTTTTTTAGGCCTTTTTTCTTCAGTTGTCTCTTTTCGACTGATTAATTTACGTGTATAAGTATTTGATCGTAATTCAAGATTTCAGTGACACAAATTTTTATTGAAACAAGGAAAAACCAAATGTTAAAGGAGCAAGTGCATATTTACAGTATCAACTGTTATGATTAAAAGTTATAAAACTTAAACAATTGCTTTATTCAAACGTTATATCAAGATTTATGTTTCACTTTTCTCATTGGTAAATCTTATTAGTTCACAAATTTCTCTAATATTCTTCTATTTGTGATACTAGTTGAGACTTTTAACTTGTGTGTTATCAAACTTTGTTATTGTAATATTAAAACCTCACAACGTGAGTGTGCGATACATTGCACTGTAACATAACACTGAAAGTTTTTTAATCCAACATAGACCATTACATCATTTTTGAGGATTAATCAAAATGAATGAATGTATTATATAAAACAACTTGTTAACTTTCAATATTTAAAATCATTTAACAGTGTACATACAAGGTCATTTCAATTAAAAAATTAATCAAGGTAGGATTGGAAGGATCAGTTTCTGTAGACTATTCATAAGTGTTTCCATAAGTCAATGGTAAAAAGCTTAAGGTATTGTAATTTTTTTTCATGTGGTTGATTTTATAAGCAATACAAAATATGTAGAATGTTTATACTCTTACATATCGATTTTTGGCTCAAAGATAAATTATAAATTTGCCGCAAATAGTACAGACGATGTCAACTTTTTATCTTCTATCCATAAGATCAGTTGCGGCTGGTTTATAATTCATAAAGTGGCTTTACTGTAAGATAATAGTAATAGTTATTTGGATCAGCGCCATCTAGCGGTATTTATTTTTTGGCCAAAAGTGGCCTCTAAAATTCTCAATCAGAGCAATCAGGATTAGAGCCATTCAGTCAATTATAAACTAGCCGCAACTTATGATAAAGCTATAAAATGAAAAAAAACGATACATGTGTTTTTGGCGGCAAGTTAACAATCTATTTTTTACCAAAAAATCGACCTCCTATGTATTTATACTTTTTAAGATGAATTTTCGAGTAAAAGATAGATTGTTAACTTGCCGCCAAAAACACATGTATCGTTTTTTTTTCATTTTATAGCTTCATCATAAGTTGCGGCTGGTTTATAATTGATTAAATGGCTCTAATCCTGATTGCTCTGATTGAGAATTTTAGAGGCCACTTTTCGCTCAAAAATGAAGACCGCTAGATGGCGCTGATCCAAATAACTATTACTATCTTACAGTTAAGCCACTTTATCAACTATAAACCAGCCGCAACTGATTTTGTAGATAGGTAATAAAGAGTTGACGTATTCTGTGCTATTCGCGGCAAATGTATAATTTATCTTTTACCCAAAAATCGACCGCCAAAAGTATAGATATTCTACTTAAAAGGTTTAATAAAATCGACTAAATGGCAGTACGTAGTAGTGATTACTATAATTACTACACATAACACATAACTTTACGTACATCTTACATCGTGCTCTCTTTACCAGAATGATAGTATCCAAAGTAAATATTTGAATAAAGTTCATATATATTTATATTTATTTGAACAAATCTCTTACTCACGTAACGATGTAACAGTTATAAGCTGTACTTAAGTAAATGAAATAGAAACCGTCTGCTTTGCAACTTATTGTGTTCGCGTTTTCGTGCACTCGTACGTGTTTTCGTGCGCGCTTTTGCGTTTTTATGTAAACGTCGTGACCGGGCTTCTATAGAACTCTTTAGATTATGGAACATGTTTAGTGGTAAACACAGTTTGGGCACTTATCTGAACTGAAAATGCAACGATGAGCCATGCAACACGTGAATCGGCGACTATGAAAAGTTTGTCGTTTGTCATTGAATTAAAAAAAATAAAGCCCAATACAAAACCATCACTGTCCTTCTCTTTTATTTTCAAAATCTGATGAAAAACACATCTTCTCCTTATGAACAAAAAGTGACGTGCACACGATTAATGAAAAAAATGATGGAGCAAACACATTATTTACACAATAATTGATACTAAATTATGGTCGTACTCTTTTGCACATATTACTATATCGTACAATAAGATTCAAACGATGATTTAAAAATGCAAAGAAGAACACTGAGGACGTTGTTGTTAAAGCACGAAAAATGAATGAATACACTAGCAACCTCCAAAAACAGATCCCCTTTCAAAGTCAAGCTATGCGTGCTATACATGATTGTCTGATTTCCAGGGTGTGTGTACATGATAATGGTACATAAGTTGTGCTGCTAGTTGAAAGATGTAGATGTGTATAACTTGTCGATTGCATCCCGTAAGTATAAGTAGAAATAGAAGGCATTTTGTCTCTGTAGTAGGTAGTCGATTTTTTTTTTTTTTTTTTTCACACAAACTAGGAAAGCAGACACTTGATTATGGTAATTAATAGGGTAAAAAAAACAAGGGGTAGTGGTTTCATTGGTGCTGGTGATAATGGTAAACGGTGACAGTGAGGATGAATGAACATAAATTTGGTTTTTGATTGAAAAAAAATTTTTAAAAAGAGAGAGAGAGAGAGAGACAGACAGAGTGATGGTCACATGACATGAAGAGGTCACATGACTTACCACCGATTTGGTGACTAGCAGGATTACTGGAAGGCGGATGCCTAATGTCTTGCGCATCCCCGGGTCCCGACTGATACAAATTAACCGACGTCCGATCGTAACAGTACTGACTACTCGGTACGCCACCGGCGTTGTGGTATAACATAGATGAGTGTTGTTGATGGTTTGTAAAGTGTTGGGTATTGTTGGCGTTGTGTTGATTATGAGTCGGTGTCGTGGGACAACCCGTTAGGGGATGACTAGGCGATAATAAAGGTTGCTCCTTGCTCACGCCGCCATAATGACAGGGCGAGCCGACCCCACCTGCAACATTAATCTTGTCTAGGATCTTGTTCTTATTCCTTCTCGTAACGCTTAGCTTGTTAGCTTTTGCGTATGGTGGCGGCGCTCGGCTCACTTGCGCTGCTACAAGACCAAAATTAAACTGACAGCTGATTCTTTCTTTATGTGCGCCGTTCATTGAAGTAAAGACACATAAAATGGCAAAAAGATAAAAGATTGTTATTAAGTCGATAAACAAACAGCCGATCAGCAGCTGAACGGTTAACTCGAGCTGAGAACTGTTATAGCACCAAAACTAGCCGGTCACTGATTACAGACGTGTTAACTACTTGATCAACACTGCGTTTATGTATGTTTAAAAACTGATAAAAGTCGTTTTTCATATGAGAATGAAAGTTTTAATAACAAGTACGGTTTTACTTTTTAAGAAACTACGGTTTAATAATAATAAAATTAATAATTTAAAAAGGCGTCTTCGATTGGCACGCTCAATTACCTGATAATTGCGTTGCGGAGGACGGCGTGGAAGATGTGCGCTGCAGCCGATACTGCGCCGGGGAATTCGTGGCAGCGGCGTTGGGCACCGGGGAGAACTGACTGGCCGTGGGAGACGCCGGGGGTGGGAAGGGCTCAGCAGGGAAGGGAGATTGCCGCGAGATCGGTGTACCCGGAGACGACATCGACCTCTGCTGTTGCTGCATACTTGGTGGCTGTTGGCCTGACTGTTGTTGCTGCTGTTGTTGTCGCACTTGATTGAACATCCGTGGACTGGTAGCGTAATTACCCTGAAAACAAATTGTCCATTGTATTGCTTTGTTTTCAACAGGATGAGTCTTTGTTCAGTTGTTCGGCATGGCGTGCGTTATTACCTGTGACGTCACCCTGGGAGACAACGGTTGTGGGTGAGAAAACGGCATCACACCAGCTGGGGAGTGCGGCGATAGTCTCGACGATGCTGAGACTTGTTGACCACTGGCAAAATTGTTATTTACAGCGGGGCTACAAATATTATTAGCGTTCATTGGAAATACGAACTTTTCCTAGATTTTGCTTGTACTTACTGCTGAGGTAACGTGCTGGGATGGGAGTACGAGTGTGTAAGGCGGTGTTGCCCTTGTGACATCTGGACGGATCCTCCATAATTTGGTGATACTTGTGGTTCTGGCACACTCGATCTCTACGGTAGAAAAAAAAAAAAAAAAACAATTCGTATTTGAAATAAAAACCGTGAGAAAAAACAACAATTCAAACCAACCTTAGAATTGCCCCATACCTGCAACGTAACATTCGGCGCCACGGAGTTCATAAGGCTATCGATATTTTGAATGCCGGTCGCTATTTGCTCCGTGGCCGTTGCATTTGACGGTATCAGCAGCTGTTGCTGCTGCTGTGCTTGCAATAGCCTCTTCCTCAGTTGCTCCTGATGCTGTTGCTGCATCTTCATCTGCCGCATCTGCAGTTGCTGCTGCTGTTGCTGCTGCGCTTGTGCCGTAAACTGTGCAGCAGATTGCCGGATTCCAGACTGCTGTTGCTGTTGCTGTTGCTGCTGCTGCGACGCGTTCAATCGCATTCGCACCTGTTGTTGCTGTTGTTGCTGCTGCTGTTGTGATTGAGATTGTTGCTGTGGCTGCTGCTGATACATCGGCGGCGGCTGGTAATTATGACTCGACGTCACAGGCGTACTCGTCAACTGTTGACACAAGATTTGCGTATAAACAATTGTTTTAGAGTTTTATACATGTTTTTGGTTTTTTTTGCTTTTATTGTTTCTAAATGTAAAAAAATAACTCACCGTAGACGAATAAGCTGGAGGAGTACCAGTCATTGGGAGGTTGGAAGACGTAGAGTTAGTAGATTCCCACTGCATCAACGATTTTTGTATGGCGTTTATCACCAGTTTTTCATTTCGCTGCGTTTCCTCCAATAAACTAACTATCGCAGAATTATCTGAAAAATCATCCAACATTGAGTGATTACATCAACACAATAATTTTCCAACAATTTCTTTCACTATATGTAATCTTTTCCATACCTTCTGGTGCAATTTCTATGACTTGATCTAAAATCTCGGAAAGATCCGGATCTAGAGTAGATTGAGGGCCCCATGAGGAAAGATCCGTATTTTGCTGACTATAACCCTGATTGCTTAAGAAATCCGCCTCCATATCCATTTGCCTCTGTTGCTGCTGCTGATGCTGTTGTTGCTGCTGCGATTAGGATTTAAAGATGAAATTATTAATGAATAATATCTAGGGGAACAAACTTTTTGATTCACCTGAATAAAACAAATGAGAACAAAAAAAAAAAAAGTTTTTGTAACCAAGTATTAGTGCAACTTACCAGATGATTAAGGTACATATTCGTTGGTTGCCGAAGCATTTGTCGCGACTGATTTTGCATGGGTCCCCGATTGGACATGGTGGTTATGGGTGTCGACGCATTACCGCCAACCACCGACTGCAAACTCGTCCACGCCTGCGGCTGTTGAAGCTGTTGATGTTGCTGCTGTTGAACTTGCGGTGGCGTTGGCGGTGCCGATTTAAGCATACGAGGCAATTTCGTTTGAGGAACAGCCGATATCACATCAGCGGGCACGGAAGGCACTGACGATACCTGCGGCGTGTCCTTGGCTAGTAACGACGCCAGCATCTTGTTCTTTTCCCACAGTTTACTCGTCGACGTCGTCGTCGTCGTCGTTGACGTCGTTATCGTCGTCGTTGCTGTCATTGTCGTCGTCGCCGCCGTCGTCGTCGTCGATGATTTACTGCTGTTGTTGTTGTTGTTGTTGTTGTTGTTATTATTGTTATTGTTGTTATTGAATTTCGCGTTTGCCTTATTCATCGTCGATTGGCTAGTGACTAGCGAGTTATCGATCAGCCGTTTCGCCGACAACCCGTGATCGGAATCCTCCCCTGGCCTCTTGTGTGCTGTGCTCGCTACATTGCCGTGATCCATCTGCGACGTCGTCGGCGAAACGTTTCGAAAGCCGAGACCTCGCAAAAGAGGATCTTCCTCTCGTTTCTGTTTGGTAGAATACAAATAAAAATAAATGAAAATCAGACATCAGAAAGTTCACGACGAGTATGATAATTTCGCGCGCAAAAAAAAAAAATTTCTCCTAGATAAAAAAAGCAATAGCTCACCACATTTTGATGTTTACTCGCGTCCTCAGAATCCTTCAAAAGTCGCGTGAGCAGCTCATTTCTGTTTTTCATCGACTCCCGTGCCTCCTTATCACCGTCGTCATCTGACTTTTCGTTGAGCAGCTGTTAAAAACAATCAAGGTGCATTGATTCATTAATGATGCCAACAACCAAGGTATCGAATAATAAGAACGATTAAGGTACATAAAACTGCAGCCAGTGTGTGTGTAAAGTAGGGCCCTAGCCTTACCTGTAGGAGCATCGTATTGCCGGGCTTGGAGGGCTCGTGTTGTACGGATTTGTGCTGTGATTGCGACTGCACCTGGCTGATCGGTAACCGACTGCGCATGCACTTCGAGCCCGCGTGCTCCGGCGAATGGTAACCATCCTCGTCCGGTTTGAGTAGGATCTTGAGTATCGTGTTCGTCGACTTTCCCTCGTTGGCCGTCGACGAGTTACCGTCATGTCCTCCACCCGCCTCGTCGTTGGCGCTACTGCTACTACTGCTACTATTGCCCTTGGTCAGCAGATTTCGCAGCCTACCCGACTCCATGCCGGCCTGCGGCTGTGGTTGGGACGACGGCTGCTGTTTCTGCTGCTGTTTTTGCTGCTGGTGGAGCTGTGACTGATGCTGCAGCTCGTCGGGCTGCAGCGGCCCGTTTGGCCTGTGCTCCATGGGGCTGGGCTGGCCCGCGTGCTGTAACGCCGAGGGCCCCGACCCACCAAGGCTCGCACTCTGTGTCTCCTGCAGCGGACTGAAGGGAAAGGAGTTGCCGAAGGGATGGGCCGCGCTACCCGGACTAAAGGCGGGCAGGGGGCTGCAGTGCGAGGGCACGGCCGGGGCGGTCGTTTGATGGGCCTGGGGCGAGGCCGAGGCCGCGTTCGGCTGCGAGGACGGCCGCGAGCCGGGCTGCGACGGCTGCTGCGACGTAGGCGTCATCGACTGCACGGATTGCTGCTGCGTCGTCGAACTGCTGCTGCTCGGCTGGATACCGCTGTGGTTGCTGCTCCGCGAGTCCGGGCGCACGCTGTCGACCGAGTTCCAGAAGTTCGCGGTGCTGTCGAGCTCGAGGCTTGAGCTCGGGAACAGGTCAAAGTCGAGGTCCATTCCCGACGAGTTAAAGTGGTTGAAGGACGTCTCGGCGCTGACTCCGAAGCCCGAGTTCACCACGGGATTGCCAGAGCGCACGGAGCCGGGGCCCAAGCCCACGCTGGCCCCTAAACCGTTCAACTGGCTAGCCACCGACATCAGTGGCCCCCCTACGTTGTTGTTGTTGTTGTTGTTGTTGTTGTTGTTGTTGTTGTTGTTGTTGTTATTGTTGTTATTGTTGTTGCTGCTACCGCTGTTGGCACTACCCGTACTGATCGCGTTGCGCAAACTCGAGTGTCCCATGCAGAGTTTCGAATTGTTCGGTATTTGGCCACCCTCGTAGAAATCGGAATCCCTGCAATGATCAGAAAATAAATCTTTACTTATAATCTTTTACGTTTCAACGTGACGAACTAAGTATATCTGTCTAACTGAGACGATGTGTTGAATTTCGAAAGATCCTTCACCGTCACACGACTTTTCGACTTTGATAACATGACACGTATTATCAAAACAGTTTGTCGCCAAGATAACCAAAAACCGTTTTTCTCTTACACGTACGCATTACGACAAGCGATAAGCGATGGCATGAAAAAGTACTTATATGGAAAAACCGAGGTACATACTTCTGAAAATAATGTGCAACACGAAATAAGAAAGACCGATTAGGAACTATTCTGTAAAAATTACGATCAATCGCGTATCCTCGCTGTTTAGAGAAGTATTGTACTTACCTGTAAATCGAGCTAGTGGCCATTATAAAATCCGCGCTCCTGTCATGTTTGTCCTTAAAGATCTTCGACTTTGTTCGTACACTGATAAGCGTGTCAGAGCCGATGGCTATTCGATAACAGGCGCTGACAAGGGCATCGTTTTCGTTGCCCAGTACATTTTGCAAGTGCTCATTCAGTTTGTCTTGATCGGGCGGGTAGCACAGATCTTGTAAATTCTTTCCAACCAGGATATCCTGCGTTTTTTTTTTTTTTTTTTTTTGTTTTTTTTTTAAACAGAAAACAAATTTTTACAATTAATGATCAGGTTCGCTGAAAACCATTTTCTTACACTTATCGCGTAAATATTAACACAACAACATGTCGAGTCTATCAGTTTTCACGATTAATGTTCAGTCACCAATAATTTTAGGTAAGTAGTCAATACAGTTCCTCACATTCGTAAAAATCGATAGAACTCGATCGAATGAACAAAAAAAATAACGGCAACAATAATCATCATAATAACAACGAGCACTTGATCAGATAAAACTCCGAGAACGCACATGTTAAATTGGTGCACTCTAAATGTATAGTCGTGTATTAAAAATGTATTAAGAAACTATAACGTAATTGAGAGATAAGTAAAGTGGACTGAACAGAAGATGAAAAAAGAATCAGAAAAAACTAATGAAAAATAGTGATTCACTAGAAAAAATAACATCAAATACACTATATATATATATATATATCTCGAGCTCTCGGTC